TAAATTATGAGTATTTTTTTTTTTTGCCGGTAATCACCACATGGGAGCCAAACTATTTTCTCATTACTTAGCCCCCTAAATAAATTATAAATGTATATTATTATATAAGTGTATTATAACCTGGATTCATTTTTACTTATAGGTGGGTACGAAATATCAATTGTTTATTCAAATTCAATTTTATACTACAATTAATAACCAATGTATATTAAGAGAACGTGATACCTGCATGTGTTGTCTCTGTCTTACAAGTGCGTAACATAGCAAATTTTACTCACAGCTGAACACGTGTAGCTCCGTTAGTTTAAAAATTAGTGAGAATCGACCTCTTATAAAATCTAAAGGTAATATTATTATCTAGGCAACCTCATAGGTTTTTTATTATATTTTAATTTCTAACGCGAGTTATGAGTATTTTAAAATTGTAAATTTTTTATACATCTTAAAATACTTATAACTCGCGTTAAAATAAAAATATAATAAAAAGCCTATGAGGTTGCCTAGATAATAATCTTAAATTTAGATTTTATAAGAGGTCAATTCACTTTAATTTTTAAATTAAAGGAGCTAAACGTGATCTGCTAAGTGTACAATTTGCTATGTTACGCACTTGTAAGACGGAGACAACACATGCGGATATCACGTCCTCTTAACCATTATGAAGGTCAGTACTCAATTATTGTGACGCACATCTCGACTGGTAGACGTTAACCCGAATTTTCGAAATTTTGATACAACATTCCCAACTAATTCCGTGAGTCTCTCCCATGGATTATACTAAAAGTATTTTGCTCTGAGCTACACCTCTGCAGGCGTTCCTGGGTATAACGTAATTAGTAGTTAAATTGGAAGCAGTTTGGTATAATTGTTGACTTTTGTTTGCAATGCACCGTAGCAATAAGTTTAGTAGGTAAGTACATTTTGTCTTTGTGATCCTACTACATTCAAATGGAGATCTGTAACTTTGTAAACACAACTTAAATCTCCTTTGTTTAGACCAACAACTTCTTGCAGAACTTGTTTTCCAATATATGTTTGATTCGGTAAGACAAAACCACTATCCAATAAATGATTTCTAACTAGTTTTAAGAGATGTGGAACGTCAGCAAACATGTAAATTTGTTTTCCAGAAACAGGATGCTCAAAGGAAGTTTTCGTTGGTGTGATTCCAAGACATTTCCAAAGTCTAATATTTGTAGGCCCCATGTCACTAACAATGGCTACTACCTCAAAACCACAGTCATTTAGCTGAGTTATAACTTCAAACAACAACTCTTGAGTCATTGGAGAATCGTAATCATAATATAACGGTTGCTTCCATTTAGCAAATAGTCCTTTAAAGTTAAACAATTTAATTATATTGTACACAATTTTTATGTTTATTGAGTTATTATGATTATCATTACACACCTCTAGCAACCATGACCTGAACACACTTAAATGGACCCAAAACTTCTTCTATTTTTTTGTCAAAACACAATTTTTGTGATACATAAGTTTCATCAAATGAAATCACTGTAACTTTGTCCATTTCTGTCAGAGATTTCCCTATATTTTTTAAAAGCATAAGGACATCTTTCAATATGCCTTTGTCCGTTATAAATTTACCTGCCCATTGTCTTAATGTCGACAAACCTACAATAATTTTAAATGTATTAACAAATGGATTTCTTCCTTATAATTATATTTGATTGTATTATATTTTTGATAATGCTATTGTTAATAATAATAAATACTTATTCCTTATAAATATATTTGAATGTATTATATATGTTAATACTATGATGTAAATATGTAATAAATAAGTAAATACTAAATAGTAAGTAAATATTCATCAAGTATTCATCTTTAAAACTTTATCATTAATATATTTTAAAAATGAACATTTAAGAATTTGGAATACCTGGTAATGGAAACTCCAATTTATCCCTAAGATATCTATAGGCTTTTGGTGATATACTTCTTAGTGTAATAGCCGATGAAATATCTTCTGGTTCCCATTTTCCAACTTTCTTTTTTTTATGAAGAATCATTGTGATTTGCTGTGGTGAAAACATATTGGATATGGCGCTTTTAAATTTATTTTCAAACCTGCAGGCTTCTAAGTCAATCCAATTGTTTTGTTCAAAAACTAATTGTTGTAATTCAGCGTTTTTTCTTACAAGTTCTTCATTTTGTAATTTAATGATTTCTAACTCATTTTTTAATCTAAACATTATAAAATAAAAATGTTTTCCTCATACTTCATTCAATAATTACATTTATTAAATGTTGACTATTGTTTTAAGTATTCTAATAGAATTATCTTTAATATTTTATGCTGCTCTTATAATCATTTAAATTTTTAAGTAAGTAGGTAGGTGTTAAAAAAAAAAATTCAAATATTTTTTTTCTGCATAAATATCAAATGTTTATTAAAACAGACATAATGATAAATCAATATACATAAAATATTAACTACTACAGACAAAAGCATAGAATAATTTAACAGATAGGAAAATCAATACATATAAAATATTAATTAAAATACATAAAATTAAGAATTATTTAACACATAAAATAATTTAAGATAAGAAATAAAATAGATTCAATGAAGAGATGATCCTTGAGTGTCATTTGACAAAAAAAAAAACATTTTTATGTTAATGTTAATAGGTAAAAGTATATAAGTTATATATATATTGAGATGCTAATTAACTTTTTTAAGGTTATTACTTATTTTTAACAGGAATCGGTGAAGAGTTTTCATCCGATAAAACACATATTCCTTTGTTGGAAGAACTTTCTTCACAAGTGACCTCAAATAAGTTTCTTTTGCAAGTTATGCCAGAATCCTCGGTTGATAATATTTCTAAATCACTACGACCTGGAGATGGTGCTACTTTAAAAATTCCACTTGGAGTACTAATTTCAATAATTTCCATTCCAACTGTTGGAGAAGAGTATTCACACCCATATTTACTAAAAATGAATTTAAATTCAAATTATATTCTTGATATTTCGGAGAATATATTATTACCTCAATGGAATAGCATCAGTTTTCAATCTTCTACTACATTTAGGCGTACTAATACCTTCAAAACAAAGTGGCTTTGGTTCTAAATGTTGTGGACCAAAGTGTAATGAACATACCACAGCTATAGTAGGTACATTTCAAACAGAATATTTTAAACAAAAATAATTTATATTTATATAATTTATATAAATAACTTACCTGATAATATGTAACAGTATTTAAATAAATAAACTATGAACATATTAAAATCAACTAATATACTTACCATTTAAACTATTCTGTGTACTTACCTTTATCAAAATTAACATACTGTATAGATGATCCCTATTTTATTTGATGCAACCATTTTTTCCGAAATTCTACGTTTTTTGGAAATTTATGTAAATGTATATTTTTTGGTTTTATGAGGTTTTTCTACTTACTACCACTCATACAGCCCTCAAAAACGCAAACAGGCATTGTTGATAAATATGTAAAAAACAAATTCAGAATAAAAATCGAATAGTTAAATCACAGAATAAATCAAATTTCATTTAATATTCTGTATAGTAAATATTTCTACAAACAATTTTTGGTAAAAACGAGATAATCGATTACCATTTACCGCCAAAAGTTTGAATTCACGATAATATGTGAACCAATGAGAAGTGGCGAAAGATCAGCGCCATATTTGCGCAACAAAAGACTGATATACGACTATTGACATCATACCTAGTTTATTATATCATGATTAAGACAATATCATGTATTCATGTAGACTCTTATTATTAAAAAAAGAAAAACATAGTGAAATCAGTCAAAAATCTATCTCGCCTTATAATTAGAAAGCAAGTGAATTTAGAAAGTTTTCATTATACACAGGAATTATTCTACTTCACTCAGTTATGCCTTAGATAGTTTATAATAATTTCTTATACCTTCATGACATTGTATCAATGATAATATTTTTGAGCCTCAATCATAATCATTAATTATCAACATTTGATAAATTCTTATTAAATGATTTTGTTAGGGAATTTGGATATTTCTATGGGAATCACTTTAAATCTCATAACATACATAGACTTATACTTGTACATGATGATTTTGAGAAGTTTCGTTGTTTTAATCTAATTAGCTGTTTAATATTTGAAAAAAAATACATAGATCAACTTAAAAAAATTATTCGCAAGCATCAAAAATCCCTCAAACAGGCTGTAAGGAGTTCTCATGAACAAAGCATAGAAGTGTTGAATAGTTATAAAAATACCAAAAATATAAATTATGAATCACAATTTGAAATGCCACACAAAGAAGGTCCATTAGTTAATGAGACAAAATCACATCCACAGTTTAAATTTTTAGTTAAAGGAAAAACCAGAAGGATGCTGATTCATATGTTGATGCAAATATTAATGGAGTATTATATATTGTTGAATACCTATCTTTAAAATGCTACACAAAATTGAGATGACAATTGACAATTCATACTATTTAAATTACTTTTATTACATTAAAAACAAACACAAAAATACGAGACACAAACAAACATACAGGCCTTGCTGGAGGATCTGCACTGCCTTTCTTTCGCTGTATTTGAGTGCTTAAATATAATTTTACAATAGGTTATTTTTACAATAGTATTACAAATACAATACAGTCATTATTTATAATATTTAATTTAACTTTTGTGCGTACCAAAAATGTTGGCATATACAATAGTATTATTAAGATTGTAAATGTGTGTCATAACAAGCAACTAAATACAGAGGAATACAACCTTGAAATACATGATCATTTTTTTAAACATTCACTAAATAGTTTTACATAAGGAAATTACAAAGTTAATACATTTCTAAAAAAAATTCTGTACGAAACGTACTAAACATATTATTTCAACTCCTGATGAAGGGTTTACAGAAGCTCTGCCATTTATACATTTTAATGATTAGTATTATATAATGTTATTTTGAAAATACATAGTTCAGTAGTAATATTGTCTTAGTTATAAATTTCTGTAATTTTCAAGATTTTTAAATTATACTGTAAGAGCTAATTAAAAGAGTTCCTATCGAATTATTTCATTGTATATGCATGTAGTATATATGTGTGTGTGTGTATGTGTGTGTGTACATAACTAAATATTTTTAAGATTTGTTTATTGTTTCGGAATGATAAACCTAAATATTTAAATCAAACAAGTTCATTATTCATATTTTTAAATTGTTAAAATTGTTTTACCAATTAAAAAATCGACATAGGAACATATTGAATTTAGTAGAAATTAAATCTATCCTACGTGCTTCCTTAGATGTACTCTCAGATTACTTAAAGTTCTGAACAAATAGTCACATTCGTAACAAGTATATGGCTTCTCTTCCGTGTGCGATAATTTATGTGCTTTCAGATGAGAGCTTTGAGAGAAGGATTTGTCACATTCGTCACAGGTGTATGGCTTCTCTCCCGTGTGGGTTCTCTGATGTACTTTCAGATGTGAGCCTCGAAAGAAGGATTTGTCACATTCGTCACAGGTGTATGGCTTCTCTCCCGTGTGGGTTCTCTGATGTACTTTCAGATGTGAGCCTCGAAAGAAGGATTTGTCACATTCGTCACAGGTGTATGGCTTCTCTCCCGTGTGGGTTCTCTGATGTACTTTCAGATGTGAGCCTCGAAAGAAGGATTTGTCACATTCGTCACAGGTGTATGGCTTCTCTCCCGTGTGGGTTCTCTGATGTACTTTCAGATTTGAGCGTTGAGAGAAGGATTTGTCACATACTTCACACAGGTATGACTTCTCTCCCGTGTGTAACAATTTATGTGCTTTCAGATGAGAGCTTTGAGAGTAGGATTTGTCACATTCGTCACAAGTGTATGGCTTCTCCTCTCCCGTGTGCGTAAGCTTGTGATTTATCAGTATCCGTTTCCATCTGAACGATTTGTCGCATTCGTCACAAGTATATGGCTTCTCTCCCGTGTGCAATAATTTATGTGCTTTCAGAGAAGAGCTTTGAGAGAAGGATTTGTCGCATTCGTCACAGGTGTATGGCTTCTCTCCCGTGTGCGTTCTCAGATGTACTTTCAGATGTGAGCGTGCAGAGAAGGATTTGTCACATTCGTCACAAGTATATGGCTTCTCTCCCGTGTGCAATAATTTATGTGCTTTCAGAGAAGAGCTTTGAGAGAAGGATTTGTCACATTCGTCACACTTGTATGGCTTCTCTCCAGTGTGGAACAATTTATGTAATTTCAGATAAGAGCCTTGAGAGAAGGATCTGTCACATTCGCCACAAGTGTATGGCTTCTCTCCTGTGTGCGTAAGCTTGTGGTTTATCAGTAACCGTTTCCACCAGAACGATTTGTCGCATTCGTCACAAGTATATGGCTTCTCTCCCGTGTGGAATAATTTATGTGCTTTCAGAGGAGAGCTTTGGGAGAAGGATTTGTCACATTCGTCACAGGTGTATGGCTTCTCTCCCGTGTGCGTTCTCAGATGTACTTTCAGATTTGAGCGTGCAGAGAAGGATTTGTCACATACGTCACACGAGTATGGCTTTTCTCCCGTGTGCAATAATTTATGTGCTTTCAGATGAGAGCTTTGAGAAAATGATTTGTCACATTCGTCACATGTGTATGACTTCTCTTTCCCGTGTGCGTTCTCCGATGACATATCGCACACACGCTTACTCTCTTTCTCGTTCATTTAATGCTGTTAACTCTGACTCAAACTTCACCACCGTGGCACCGTCACCTTTTTTCGGGACCTGCTAAATAATAGATATACTGGTTAATATGTGATCAAAGTTTGGCTTAATTGTTTTATGTAATAGCCAAATTACGTTTTATTCGGCTGCTATAGGCTATTCTAGTAATCTGTGTAAATTTGGTTGAAATTGATTGATATAATCAGGTTTTTAAGCCAGCAATTTTTGTATTGTTTTCAAATTACTTAAATAATAAATTATTAAGTCAAACATTTTAATAGTTAACTTTAACTGTTATATCAGACTAACCACTTTTATAGGACAAGCTTTCTTATAAGTAAATGGTATACATTGTAAACAGAACTACATAAAATACTTAAATACAATTTTTTTTGTTCTAATTTGGACAAAATTAGTTATTTTAGCAAAAAATAATAATTTTGTAGTAATTTCAAAACATTGTCTTAGGTTACTTGAAATTTGTTATATTATAGTATATTATAATATACAGAATTACATTTTCAAATGCAATGTTTCCAGAAAATAGTTATATACAACTACATATTACTGATATTGAAATAAATTAACTAATGATCGGCATTTAAATTTTGTAATTTAATATATTTATTAGATTCTGTACATTTGTAATAAATAAGAACAATTTTAAATATAAGTGATACCATTGTTAATTATTTTTTTTATTATTGACAGATATATAGCATGTTCCAATTTTCTTGTGGCAACCGATTTCAGCATGATATATTTAAATTAAAGAATAATGCCCAATGTGAAAACCTTTTTTAGACTTAATAACCTAAAAAAAAATAGTCAATTAATGATATTAATTAGACTATTAAAACATATTATTAAGTACCCAATTCCATACTAAAAGTTATTACTTGGAACATGTTTCAACGATTGAAACGAATGTGGTAGGGTAACTATTTTTTCCTAATTTTTTAAGACTTGCGTATAATATCGGAAGTATTGAGAAGGTTACACTTGGATAAATATCAAATTCATATGTCAGAAATTTTAGGTACTTTTGGTCACTGAATACATATTGTATTTTTTTAAATTTAGATACCTTATTGCTCTATACCTAGATTGTTTATATTTACGAAAAAAGTTAGATAATAGATTGTATAATATAAGAAGAATTCAAGAATAACATTTTTGTTTTAATTGATTTAAAAATTATAATAAATAAGCTACCTGTATTAGTTTGTTTTTATAATTTGTAAAATTTACTAAATAATAACTAATAAAACCATAACAAATATTAAATTAACATAAATTATATGATGCTTATACCTACATAATCGAGTGCCCAGGGTCCGGATTATAACCATGGACCATTATCCTTTGCACAAAATGTGTAATAACTTTAAAACTGCTCGTTCAAATTTTGATTTCAATACATCAAAATTCATAAAAAGAATTATCTGCTAAATGATTTACAGTAAAAAGTGCGGTTCTCATTTGAAAAACAAAAGTTCAAATCACAACAGGACACTCCTTAAGAGGTACAAAAGATCTCAAGAATTTGAAAATATAGTCTTGGAGGATATTTAAGGATTCCAAAAATCAGATTTTGAATAATTTCATTATTAAAAAAAAGGGTGGTAAGCACATTTATTGGATCACTATGTATAACTTGATTCTAATAAATGTTTTGTTAGTGTTTTGAACAATTTGTAAGTACCTATATTGATAAAACTTTTTAAAGACTTGCAGTTTTAGTTTACAAGGTGATTTACACAAAACCAACTATTTTAAACCACTGAGCATATTAATAGTTTAACCTAATTTGTATGTAATTTATTTGAACATTTGTCTCATACAATAATATGATAAATATAGTGAAATAGTAAATACATAATTCATTATTCAATGAAAATCACTTGAAACCTCTAGTACAAAAAATGTTCTCTAAGTTTAAATTGTGAAGTATGTTTTAATTAGGCATTTACTAAACTGCTAGCTTTCATAACCTATATATTTATTGATACCTATCTTAGATATAATCAAAGTATGTATCTTATATAGGTACTATAGATTATTTTATGAAAAAAAAGAATGATCTTTCGAAAATAATGAATTTGCTTTCAAATTTAGTTTACCACACGTATTTTGATTGCTCTCTAATATTAATATACTAACATTTACATTTAGTTCATCGCTTATTTGTCTTTATAGGTATCAGTTAATGTTGATCCTTATATATCAAGATAGTACACATTTCAAAAATCTGTACATTTATGTGCTTCTAAATAAGTTACGAAATTAGGAACAAAAATGGAAATAAAAAAGTTTTCAATTCCGGACTAAAACCTAACCCTATTCACCACTCTGTATATATTGCTATAATCTTTACTGATGCAATTGACATATTTAAAATACCTACTTGATTATGTTTGATGCCATGTCATGACTGGGACTTAGATGTTTTTATAATTATATTAAAAACTTATAATATAAAACTTTATTTTGCTCATTGTACAATTTTTACCTATTAGAGTAAAAAAATATCATAAAAATGTAGTTTAAAAATTAAATTGCTTACACAAATGTAATGCATTTTACTAATGCTGTATAAACATTGTGTGACTCTCATGTGATGGTGGCTTTGAACTCTATGACACAAATAACAATCCCTTCTATCTACCTATCATTCTTTTTTTTTTTTTGTTCCAAGACTTTAGAGCAATAGGTACAACTATTCAAAAAAAAAAAAATTGATAATACAAATAATAATAAAATACATTTTTCAATAAATTCAGTCAAAATTGTATAGTTATATTGTATACATATTTCCTCATATTCTTATGTATAATTGTTTGTGCTTATAGCTTTTAAGTCCCTAAGTCTAACTATAAACTTTAAAAACTTGTAATTAATCTAACAACATTCAAGTCCTAGTTATTATAATTAACCATTGGGTTGATCATATCTTTATGTTGTGCAACGGTGATGTTCTTTCAAAATCTGTTTGAATATGCATCATTATTCATTTGCCATTATGTTGAACGAGAAGTTTAATCATACAAGTTTTTGAAATCAATGTTGTCATTTTGCAGTGTTTAGAAATGGTTCAACTAATATTAAGTTAATTTAAACAAAATATGAAAGTAGGTATATTATTAATTATTACTTATTATTTAAATTAAAAAATATATTTAGGTACCTAACCTATTTATATTCATTTTAAATAGTTGTATGCTATATAATATAATTTACACAACGGTTTGGTTACACTTTAGATACATTATAAGTAATAAATATTGTGTATAATTATTGAGTAAATAAAAACCTTTCTAGTAATAGCGTTGGTCATAGATAATACAATATAAAATATACAAAATATTATCTGATAGACTTTTTTTTTTTACTGTCAATACAATAATGTAATTTTACCTGCATAATATAAAATTAAATTAAGACACACGTTTTATTACTACAATAAATTGATAGTGAGATAGAGTTAAGATTCTTAAGGTTGTACAACAATGGATCGGTGTGTAACAGAAGCGAAAACGTACATTATTATTATTATTATTCATTGATGACATTTTACAAAATAAATACAAAATTCAATTGAAAATAGCTTCTTTAACTATTGACCCATAATTATGATTAATAAATCAAAGTGCACTAAAAAATAAATCCTGTTTGAGTTTTAAGAGTTACCCTTAAAATCTCCCCTTTTTAATTATTAATATCAAATTAGTTAAGATTATATGATTCAGCTAAGAGGTTTTCACATAGGTCATTTTTTCCTAATCTTATTATATCATGCTAAAATCGGCTGTCTCGTGAAATTCTTAACACCTGCTATATATTAAACCATATTTAAATGGCCATTTAACAAGCTTCGGTAGAATTCTGAATAATTTTTAAATACTTTCTTTCAAAGTATTTAATACAGTATTTTGAATAATTTTTACAAGTATTTAAAATATAGTATTTCCTAATTTTTTAACTTACAATCAGGTTTTCTAAATGATCTTCTTATTTGTCTGTATAAATTGCATTTAAGTGTACTCAAATAATGTTTAATAAAATATGAACTATTATCTTTGTTATCAAAATAAACTAAAAAAAACATTCTTAAAGTAATTGGAATACTTTTAATGAAATATTCCAAATACTTATTATAATATTATAATCAGTAAGACGCATTGGCTTTATAATATAATAGTGACATTATTATTCAAAATAAATTTAATTTTTATTGGGATGTGGTTGTTTGGGCGAGTAGGTCTATAGCAATATTTGCAAGCAAATTAACTGTCTGTTTGGGTGAAAAATCATTTATTTTTTCCATTGTGCACGATCCTACATGGACTTTTATGCGAACGACATTATTAGCTATATTATAATATTACCATAGTAATATTAATTTAGAGATGGATCTAATTATAAAAAAACCGAACGTTTTCATCATACGTCGAACACGAACCATACAATTTAGTGTGATGTTGAACTTGAACCAATAATTTTGATTAATACCCAACTGAAACCAAACCTATGTTTTGAATTAAATGTTGAATTAAATTTTAGTTTTTTGTCTAACCTGAGTAACAAATTTAATTCAAATCTTATCGGCTATAATATATATTATGTGAAGGTTTTATTTTTTTTTTTTTTAATGGTTTCCATATACTTACGAAAATTACAAAAGTATTATCCGGTGATGCATCTACGTTAGAAGGTACTCCAGAAGATTTGACAACCAATGATTTGTTTCATTATAAATACGCACTATTGAACCATTCAATCCTAGCTGGTGGTTGTTGCCTTGACTCTATCCAAAAGACTTCGATTAAAATAATTGTGAAATTAATAAATGGATATTTTATTTTTAAGCAGGTGTACTTATACTCCATCCAGCGAAATATCACGCCGCGCGCCCACCAAATCTGGTTCCGACACGCGACACCCTGCCATGGCGACCCGGTTTCGAAGGCCGGGTGGAGAGGAGGGATACACAGAACTGCGACGTTCTCTCACTGGATATAGTATAGTTGGTTTATTGTTACTAGAATGTAATACAATAAAAATATAATATCAGTTATTACTATCAAGTTTAATATGTAATGGGGTAATAATAATAACAAATAAACAAGTACACATTTACATACCGACGCACAGGCCTTAAGCCTGCTCGACAATTTAAAACCTCGTGGCCTCAAAGCCCAAATGGCAAAGAATACACGGTTGTACTCTGTACGTCACTAGCGGTGAATAATGCATCGATGACACAAATGCCCACGTCACTATTCGACAGAATAAGAACACACCACTTATATTACGACGAAAAAATGTTAGAAGTAAAGATGCATCGTACGCATCGGCCATTAAGACTGTTTTGCCGATAAACGGGGCGGTTCAATTATAAACAACGGGTTCAGATAAACTAAATAATGTACCGCTCGCGTTACGCATGCGCAATATGTTATCGAGCGCATAACCTAGATATCAGATAACATTGATTATCAGTAATTTAAGCGGCAAATAAAATTTTGAATTAATAAGGTAATATTATATTGTATTCAAAACTTACGAACTAATACCCAGATTATATTTCAAGCTATCTTAATGATATTATTTTGTTTGGGGGAACCAGTAAAACACATTTTATCTAAAATACACATGACATGGGAATTTATTTATGTTCTATTTCCAACATATTGATTGTAACAAGGTGAAAATTTCTGGATATTCATTGATGACTAGTGACTACGATATACTAAAATCTGGTCTGCATTAATTAGTGTACAACTTTCTTTGTACCGCTATATATTTTCTCTTGTAATTTGTAATAAATCCTTCTCAACAAAATACTCACTCGAGAGATATAAAAAAAATTTCAATAAGGTAGAAAATATTATTACATTTTTCAAAATGTAGTAGTAGCATTGATCTTAATTTTAAGAAAACTACTGATTGATCATTTAAATTCTGAGCATGGAATGTCGATCAATAAGGAAACTTTAAGACTTAATAATATCATAGATATTTATTAAGTTTTTTCACTAAAATAATATTTTTGACATACTTTTATTTGTATGTTATCATTTCAAATATTCAAATTATTCAATAAAATGTTTTAAATTGAAAATTATTATTTATAGAATTTTATAACTAGAAAATGAAGCACGAATTAGAAAATAAATTTTAATATGTACTTAAAACAGATAAAGAAAATTGTAAATACGGTACTAAAAGTTATTATGAAAGTGGTCGTTCAGGTGCATACGAAGAGAAATATAAAAAGAAAGATATAGAAAATCTTAAGGAAAACCAAAAATTAACTATAATTGGGCAATTCATACAATATTATTAGAGCCTTTCGATTAAGACGAGTATATTGCAACAGTTTATAGGAAATATTATGGAGTTACAACTAATGGACTTCAACATTTAGATATACTCATCAACAACAAAATGGAAATTGCACCAAAAATTTCAAAATATTTCAAATTTCACAAAATATATGATTCAACGGACATTAAATTCAGGGCTCAGTGTTTTGAAGAAATTAGTTTCAAATACCTATAGGGTCTATTTTGATAATGGCAATGTATTTTGGGAATGCAATTCAGTTAGTTTCATTCTGAAGCAGTAGGTACTCTTTAGATCTTATATCGATATGATTTCTATGACTACAGCAGCTACATTCAAAATGAGTGAACTGTTATATTGGAACATAGTACGTAGTTTTATTAGAGTAATATGATATGTATACTGGGCGTACGTGACTACGGGAACGGACGCTCGAGCAGGAATCTGCTTATCCAGCAATTCCTACCCTGGTCGTTGCACAGAGGGCTCCATGGTCACGGCCGCCCAGTCAGTCGTAGAGTTATACGCACTCAGGCAGAACCTCATTTGTTATACAGAAAATCTATGTAATAAGTCTAGAGTAATTAAGCATTTAAGATACAGTATATTGTAGTTTTCGTAATAATAAACACTTCTTTTAGTAATTTAATAAGCGCCTTTGCGTATATTCTTTCAAAATACGTCCTTGCTCTCTTCACTAAGAATAACAACGTGCCGGTACACATCATTTGGTGGCAGCGGAAGTCAACAATTTTATTGCGAAATAAAATGTTGAAGAACCTACGTGTACTACCGATTTTCTTTACGGATAGAGCAACGGACATTCGGCAAAGCATCAAGTAATTACAATAAGAAACTCCAAAGCATCTTAGAATCAAAACGAAGAATTTACAGAGCATCAAGATTTTCAAGTCCGTATATTCGTATATTATACAATACGACGTACGAACGTCGCATACAAAATCAAAAAATCTAGAAACGTCAGCACCAACAACGACAACGCCGCCGTCGCAGAAGCCGAGAGCCGCCCAACTACGAACGTAACCGACGACGGTCGTGTCTACACGACACACCAGCTACACCGATCGTGTGCGGAGTGCCAAGGACGCGAGCTCCACCACCACCGTGATACATCGAAGAAGACGCCGCCGCAATAATCATATCACAGCTGTTGTCACCGCGTATCAATCATAACAAGTAACAACCGAAAACCACAACAACAATGTTACTATATATTATAGCACGTATGTTCCGCTAGCAATATTTGAAATTTTTCAAAAAAAAAAATGGCGGGCAATTTTGTTTTGCTAACTTCTCCAACTTAAAATCGAGAATATAACATAAAATGGGATGTAGGTATATTTTGAAATTCTAGCTTCTAAAAGTTTATTTACTCAAATATTAAGGGGGTAAATGTTGAGTTCAAAATTTGATATTTTTCAACAAAAAAAAATGGCGGGCAATTTTGTTTTGCTAACTTCTCCAACTTAAAATCGAGACGCGGCTTTTTTTAAAACAGAAATTTGATCTAGAGGTGTCACTGCATTGAACCTCAAAGATTTCAAGACGATACAACCCATATTAAAGGTTGTACTGGTTTTACTTAGGTTTGTGTTATTAGCTCAAATATAATACGTGTTAGAGTGGATTGATCTATTATTTTATAGGTTTTAATATTTTATTCTTATATGCTTATCGATTTACATTAATAAATAATGAGCTACACGCCTACTAAAATAAGTGTGAAAAAAAGTTCAAGACATTTATTATTTGATACGTTACACAGACGTATCCCACAAGAAGACGCCTTGGTAATACGAAAAATAGTATAATTTGTTTTCTAACTTATTGCTACTACGATTTCGGGCGAAATAATGGTCGTACGTACTTCGACCATAGAGGTTTTTTGAATCCTTATACGCCAAATAATCAGATTCTAGAATTTAGAAGTGATCAAACGAAAAAAAAAATCTAAAAAACACGTAAATACGTAATTTTCTAAGTACAAAAAAAAACCCTAAAAATCTTAACTCCCGAACCAAAAGTCGGATAACCTCGATCTCGGTGCCAATCGTTCAGGCGTAAAGTGCTCTATAAAGTCCCACTACAAAAACGGAGTGGAGCGCCCAAAATCTAAGTGTACGTAGCACTTCGTGCTGAAAAACACGAAAAACGCAGATTTAAAAATTTTTGAACCCCCAAAAGACGGAGAAAAGCTGCTCGCTCAGTCTCGACACAAGACGCCGAATTTGATCAGCGACCTCCAAACTATACAAATCTCGAGTTTCAGAAACGTCGTATAAAAACTGAACCTTTCCCAAAATACACCAAGGGGGGGGGAAGGGATTTCGGGGACCCCCGATTCCGGGAGTACGTTTTAGAAGGGCCTAAACCGAAAGTTTGGTAACTTAAAAGTATAATACGTATAATACGTGGACGTCATCTACATTCTACATCTTATGGATTTATTGAACTTTAAAAACTATTAGGTACATATTTATACGTTAGTTGGTAATTACGCCAGCAACACGCCACAATCTATGTCAGTAGTTTTCCCAGAAGTAGTTACCTATTCATATAATCACATCGATACTAAATCTATTTAAGAGTGTTAAACGTGACCAATGTCCAATTGTTTATATAATTGATGAACTTAAAATTTCAATCATCAAAGTTTAAGATTTATACGTCTCGAAAATGATTATAACTAATTGTATTTTGTTATAATACTATAATATGAGTATATGACATGTCTTTAAATTTACTAACGCTGGGCAATATAGGTATAAACGCAGAGTAAATTAGTAAATGACAGATGTATGTTATAATATGAGGTGTGCACTATATTCAGAACTCTTGTGGTCGTCTGTTTATAGATAAGATTAATCTCACACAGGAGAACGCGAGATGGTGAAATCTCAAGTTTATCGATAGAGAATTTTATGGAGATTCCATTTAAATGGTCAGTGTAACGAAGTTTTTAGTAGTTAAATAGATAGCTTACAAAAATCATAAAAAAACCAAAAATTCATAAAATTTTCTCTTTATCAATTAATCTTAGATTGTAAATTATGATAACGAATAATAAATTAGTGTAACCACGTTTCAATAGTTGAGGTTATGTTCAACTCATTTGTTAAATTGTAAATAATAATATTATTTATAAATATTTTTAAATTTATTAATTTTTTTTACTTTTTAAGTGGGTTTTGTTTAATTTTAAACAAAATATAAATGATTGTAGGTATTTTAAAAAAAATGTCTAAGTCCGGCCGTCCGCAGTTTCGGGTGCCGCGCGATGTACCGGCTAGGCACCGTGTTCCCGCGAGCTCCTGACAATTTTCCGAGAGGAGTCGACGCTATCTGATTATATATTCGGAATCTCCAGTATGTTTTATTCAAAATCTTTAGAATGAATGTGTTAAGCCCGCCAGCAATAAGTTCACAAAACATTAAGAGGACACTGTCTACATTCTACAAAATATTTTTTGTCATAGGTAGCTACTATCTACACTACTACACCAGTACCTATGCATTGCCATTTGGCTCCGTCTTAGTGTCCTACAAACGGATAACATAGCAAATTGTAATTTCTAAATAATCCATTTAACTCTGTTTTATTTTATGTTTGAGTGAATTAACGTATTATTAAATTTATTGTTGATTTATTATTCCAGTCTTTCTAAGTCCTCATTATTATTTATTATAGCAATATAGCCTATACCTAATAATATATTAAAACTTGACTTAATTTAAATGCATTTTGAATCTAGTAGAAATGAACTAATGTACATTAATTGTACCTATGATTTAAATGCGTTTAGCAAAAAATAAAAAATAAACCAATTACTATATTATAGTAAGCACCTATTGCAAATAAGATAAAAAATAAAATTACATGATAATATTATGAAACCATTTTAGTTTACCGTCATTATAAAATATTTTGAATTCAATTTTGAAAATTATTAAAAATCATGATGATTAAGTAAGTATTGAAGGGAAATTTTAATATAACTAAGTAAAGATGAATTTTTTAGGTAGTTTACAAAATAC